TTGGAAAAATACATCTTGTATTCTTTTATTTGTATTCAGAATGTTATGAGGATCGTTCTCTGCTAACACTACACCAAATTTCAGCCCAATATGTCTTTTAATGGCCAAGATATTGACGTTTCAAATTAGCATTTATAATTTGTTAAAGAATGTTCTTGGCTACGTCTGTGCTAATTCCAAACTGTCTAGGACAAACGCTAGCTGAATTATGGCATGTTTAAAAGTTAGAATTAGCGATTAGCCTAAACTTACGATTAGCATTCATAATCAAGCATCACTGCTAAAGAGAAGCTGACTCCAGTGCAGCAGCAGTGGGAAGGCCACAACTGAAACCGATCAATGAGATCCTAACAGTATTAACTACRTGCTACAAATGCTTAAAACTCAATGCTCACAAGCAGTTTTATGTCCTAATTTTACACAACTTTCACATCCTTGGAAAAAAAAAGATTTTTGTAAATTCTATATTTGACACCCTGTATATCTGTGTGTGTATATACTGAATATCAAAAATACATGTACTTCTTTTCAATTCAGAAAGTTCTTTCTTAATTGTCCACATGTCAAACTGAGGGTGGAATGGTGGCACAGTGGTTACAACTGCCACCTTTCAGCGAGAAGGTTGCATGATTGCCTCCCAGCCCGGGACWTTTCTGTGAATAATTTGCATGTTCTCACTGTGCATTCGTGAGTTATTATTATTATTATTTTTTGAGTCTTGGAGAAGAAAATTAGCATTCAGTTTGGATTATTTATTTACAATTTTACTTAAGAGTCAAAAAATTCAGGTACATGTTGAAAATGAAACAGCATTTCTATTAAAACATTTTAATTACGATATTGGAACACAATCGCTTCCATAAGTTTTCACCAGGTCCTCTGATTTTCTCCCAAAGACGAAAAATGCTACATGTTGGTGAAAACTGACAAGCCTGTGTGGGTAAGTGTGTGAACGGTTGTTTGTCTTGTTTTCTTTCATGTGTTCCTACAATGGACTGTGATGGACTTTTTAACCAGGACAGGTTGCAAAGTTCATCCTGCCTCTTGCACAGTGACTGCTGGAGATATGGACCTGCTCCCAGTGACCCAGAAAGGAGAAGCAGAAAGAAGGTCAATGGATGGATGGATGAACACGTATCTCTCCCCTCCCGCTCTGCAATGACTTTTTCAATCCAGAAGATGTCGCTGTTAAGTGCCATCAGTTTTGGCACCTTCTCAGAGGAATGYAACACACTCTCCCATCACTATATTGTTTTCACAAAAAGACTACGAATAAACAGCAAAAGATGGATGAACGGAAGACGCATAGATGGATGGATGGATGCATGCATGGATGGATGGACGGATGGACGCATGGATGGATGGATGGATGGATGGATGGATGGATGGATGGATGGATGGATGGATGGATGGATGGATGGACGGAGGGATGCATGCATGCATGGATGGATAGATGGATGCATGGATGGATGGATGGATGGATGCATGGATGGATGCATGGATGGATGCATGGATGGATGCATGGATGGATGGATGGATGGATGGATGGATGGATGATAGGATGGATGGATGGATGGATGGACGGATGGATGCATGGATGCATGGATGGATTGATGATGGATGCATGCATTCATGGATGGATGGATGCAGGGATGGACGGATGGATGGATGCATGGATGGATGGATGACGGATGCATGCATGGATGGATGGATGGAGGACGGATAAATGCATGCATGGATGGATGGCTGGATGGATGGATGGATGGATGGTTAGATGGATGGATGGATGGATGGATGGATGGATGGATGGATG